TGCCAAAAGGGAGCCTTATTGTAAAGTGTAAAACACATTCCCATTTATTAATGAGTTACTACCATTTCTAATAAGGCTTAGCAACCGGTCACAGTTGCCCTGTTTCTCATGTCTTATAAAAACTTTTTAAGGATTTGTAAAGTGTTCACAACCTAATTAATAAATGAATTACAAACTATTCGTAAACCCTTTATAAGGTAGTCTTATTGTAAAGTGGTACCCTTGTTTCTTGTTGTTTGTGTAACTAGAAGGTAGCCTTGTAATGCTGTGTGTGTGTGTGTGTGTGTGTGTGTGTGTGTGTGTGTGTGTGTGTGTGTGTGTGTGTGTGTGTGTGTGTGTGTGTGTGTGTGTGTTTTCTAGCTGGTGGGAGTGGATGTGATGGCAGCGCTGGACATGTATGCAGAGAGAGGCCAGTGGGAGAAATGTCTGGAAACAGCATCCAAACAGGTACTGAGAACTCACCTGGTTATTTGAGTTAAGATGTTGATAACAGACAAAGAATATAGTTAAATTACAAAGTATTGTTTATTGTGATCTAACCCTATATTATTAGCTAAGTAAAACTGCATATATCTCAAGTTTTCTAATTAAATATCCTGTAGTGAGTGCTCCTCTTCATCCTCCCTGTTGTCAGAACTTTAAGATCCTGCAGAAGTACGTGGCTCTGTACGCGACCCACCTCATCAAAGAGGAAGATGCTCCGAAGGCTCTGCAGCTCTACGTCCAGCACGGAGCTCCTCCCAACCCTCAGGTAACTCATATCAACAAGTTCCCAGCTTCAATTTAGATGTGGATATAGAGGACTACTTTTGTTGGTGTTGGTTACACTTCAACGTGCTTGAAAGGTACTCTATGAAATGTGTTGAAAGCCAGATTCGAGCGACAAAAACTTCTGCCATGTTTAGTTTTCTGTTTATGTATTTAATGAAACAAGCGTCTATCTTTTACTTCCAGAACTTCAACATCTACAAGCGGCTGTTCCTGGATCTGATCAACCTCCCCGAAACTGACGGACCCGAGTCTTACCGGATGTGGGCCGACCTCCGCAACTTCCTGCTGCAGCTGGTAAATCACAGGAGGGTCCATTTTACAGCTGACAAAAACACCATGTCTCTTCTACGTCAACATGTGTCCCCTCTTCTCCATGTCTCTTCTACATCAACATGTGTCCCCTCTTCTCCATGTCTCTTCTACATCAACATGTGTCCCCTCTTCTTCATGTCTCTTCTACATCAACATGTGTCCCCTCTTCTCCATGTCTCTTCTACATCAACATGTGTCCCCTCTTCTTCATGTCTCTTCTACATCAACATGTGTCCCCTCTTCTTCAT